ACACACACACACACACACACGAAAGCACAAATACATACACTTACACACGTACACACACATATACAAAAAACCCAAACAAACACACATATACGCACAATCGTATACATAAACACACAAACACACATACGCACAACCGTATGTACATAAACACACCCGGTCATGCACGTCTGTGGGTATTAGCAATAGAATGTTAACAATATTATTATTCTGAGTGGCGCTGAACGACCCTGCTCTGTAGGCTCGCTGCGCTTAGTGTCAATCTTCCTTAACGTGTTGACTTGCCCACAAGGGTGAGGGGCTAGACGCAGTATAAGAACTTTAGGCAAGGGGCCTCGCCAACAGCGCAAGGCATAATAAATGTTTTGTTTTTGGTCAGTGTGATAAAGTGAGGCCTAACACTTGTTCTGCGAGATTGTACACTATGTGAGGGTACACGCAACTAACCAGGGTTCATTTCAGTTTGACACGTAGGCCTTGAGAAGCCTTTCACTTTCACGCTTATGTTTATCCACTGTTTTATTTCATCTCTTTTTCAATTTTTAATTAATTTTTGTTAGGGGGGTGGGTATGTTTTTGTTTGTTATGTTTTATTTTGTTGTGGTTTGTTTTGTGGGGGTTTTCTTTAGTGCCGCTTGGCTTGACTGTATACTGCTATGTTTCCTTTCTACTTGACGGTCTACCAAAGGACCAATCTGATGACTGTTCCATTTGGCAGTATATATATACTCTGTCACATTTTTAAGTATACACGGTGTTAAAATGAAAATTGCTAGTTTCACAATGAGTCGATATTCTTTAAAATTTCAGGAGTACGAATTCAATCAGTTTTAAAAACGAAAAAAGCAACAACAATACGGAAAGTTAACATAACAGGTTTATTCACGACTTACAAGAGTGTGGGGGTGGTCTACAAAAGTAACACGATCAGTAGCGTTGATGACGGTCTGGCATCTTCGCCGCCTTGAATCAGTCAATCGCTGCACTGCCTGTTGAGGGATGTTTATTTCACTTTTCATGTGATGCTCTCTCAAGTTGAGAAAGTGTCTGAGGCTGGGGTTGTCGCATGTTGTTCAACTCACCTCTGGTTAGTCTTGCCGTTTTGAAACGATCGATTCCGTAGATGCGACAGGCGTATAAAAAGATCCTCTCTTTGACTTTGAGTAGTTTTTCTTCTCCCACGTTGGCGGTGTCGATCCTTTCCTGATTTTGTTGTTTTTTCGCAATCCATTGTGTATCCAGTTCTTCTTGTTACATTAAAATGTCTCGCAACAGTAGATACTAAGGCACCCCCGCGGATCATTCCAACAAGCTGATTTCGCACAT